ACAATCTCATTGGTGTATTGTGCTCGAACATATGTGCAATTACTTTATAGTACGTACTTTCATGTATGTGATGATTTCAAAAAATAATTTAACGCCTCGAAAAAGTACATGCAACAAAGATTTTGGAAAATCAACTTTTATTTGGAGATGAAATATATTCCCACCACATGATGCCTTAACGGGGAAGGTACCAATTTGTCTATATGGAGAAAGAGTAATGAGGTTGTTTACACAATGATAAAAAATATTAGCAATTTTAATGACACGGTTATTTAACAGAAATTCATGAACTATTAGTAGAAATACCTTATAAAGATCAAAGTTTGACTAAAGTAAATGTTTTGCCAAATAAATTAAGAATTTTACAATACTATTGATATATTAGGCTCCAACATGTATGAATGTTTCTTAGTATGAATGTTTCTTATGAGAACCTCAAAACCAAAATGAAAGAAAATCACTCTTCAATCATCTAACATAAATAAATAAAAGAACTAACGGATCTCTAATATGCATTAGGTACTTAGTTCATTAGTATTTTTTTTTTCTTCATTACAACTTATTTTTTTCATATATTTTTTTCGAGGTTGCAATATGTTACTTCATTCATTGTACATTCAACATCATTATGTCGTTTTTGAAAAAAATACATTAGAAGCTCATTTGTTCTACAATTTATTTCGTTCCGGCAATGATATGTTTAATAAATAAATTAATTTATTAAACTGCAAAAAATATTTACAACCACGTGCATCGCGCGTGCACTTTACTAGTGCACTGAAAAGGAATCAAACTAACGCTACATATCTGATGAAAATATTATCACAATATAATAAATTTAAAATGGTATAACGGGACTTTTTACTTATAATAGCATATTTTATATTTGCCCAAATAAAATAAGAACAAATAAAATGATAATTTATACCTTTAATTTCTCATAGTTGGAAAAGATATTGCAATGCAGTTTAACTTACTAAAATCAACATATATATCAAAAGGGCAACTAAATCAAATCAGGTGAATCAGCAGCTCTTATATCAATGTTACTATAATCCCGACGGAGCCAATGGAGGGGAAAAGATTTTTTACCAGGTACTTTTGACGTATCAACGGTCTGGACAGTAGGAGGGGGAGCAGCAGGAGCTGCTGGCTGCACTGGAACAGGCTGAGTAGGACTCGGAGGCTGCACCAAATTCATCCCTGGTCTTTGTACCCCTGAACTAGATATAGGCGTGAATCCCCTAGTTGGTGGAGTAGGGTTAAAGACCTGTGACATCTTTTGCGCAGGAGTCGGAACATGAGACGTGTTGGCACCAAATGATGGAACCCCTGGAGGAACACCTTGATAGCTAGGATTGACAGACCCCTAAGTCATAGGTTTGAGGCAAATTGTAAGGCTTCAGGTCAAATTTTGCAACGACTACAAAATGTTAGAATGTCAGAGGTCGTTAACGTACTGGATACAACTGAGAACCCAAAGTCGATGGCTGCTGATATTGCTCCGCATTTCTTAATAAAGGAGGGGTAGTGGGGACAAATTTTGCAGGGGGCTGAGTGTTGACAGGAGGTGGAAAAAAATTTCCCTGCAACAATTTGCAAAAACATGAGTACCGAAGTTAGATTCTAAAATTGCTCCAATAGTCCAGACGAAGATGCAGACCAACTAAAATAGAAAATTACAAGAAATGGGAATATATTACCGTCTGGGCTGGAGGTGCAGGGGAAGGGACAAACATGGAAGGCTGTGGTGCGTTGGGCTGCGAGGTTGCCTGATATGTAGTAGGAGGATTGTAACCTCTTCCATATGAAACAGTGGGCTGCTGCTGATAATTGACACCATATGGACTGCTGGGAACAGATTGTTGGAACTGGGATGGGGCAGTATTCTTAGGAAAATAAAACAGAGAAATTAATATTTAGAGTTAAGACCTGACGACCAAGGTAAAAACAACTAAATGCAGGGAAATATGTCGTAAATACCGGATAATAGTGTTGAGAGGCATCGACAACACCATAACTCGATTGATCACCATATGTGGGTCCAGTTTGCACTTGACGGTTCTCATAAGTCACAGTTTCCTCAACTTCTTTATCTGCTTATGAGTAAACATAACATATTTTTATGAAAAGAACAAAAATGCAAAATGGAAGATAAAGATTAGCCTTAAAAATTTAGGTCTCTGATGCACCCATCCCACCTTATACATCTGACAATCCTGACATCATTTCTAAATCTTACTTCCATTTTTTCTTTTCTAGCATGCGTATGGCAGGATGTGCACCAGAAAACATAAATACTCCATTCAGCTCTAAGATGCAGGAATAATGAAAAGAGGTTGCATAAATCCGCACCTTGCTCAATAGACCGAGCAATGCGATCACGTAAGATAATAAGTTCGGTAGACAACTCCTCTGTGCCGAGAAGATTCAAATACTCCATTGCTGTAGTTAAAAGCCCTTGACTTGCTAATATTTCAGCATATTTCTCAACTAGTTTGCATAATGATGCACTAAATCGCTTCTGGCCAGTAGCCAAAGCAAATACTATGGTCTTCTCCATTAAATCCTTAGAGAAACAAGAAATAAATATAAGGCCATATTACTTCAAGCATAAATAATCATCCAAAATGTAGTAGGCTGCATACTTACCTGGAGACGTTCAACATAAGGCTTTCCATCCTGATCTTTTGCCAAATTCCTTGACCAAATCTCCACAGTTTTGTCGATATTTCCGGCACAAATGTAACATAAAGTTGCAGCAGTAGCATCACCAGCAACCATGAGTCTAGCACCAAGTGTGTCGCATAACTGCGCCCACTGTTCTGACTGTGCAAACTGAATCATAGCATATAATGTTTAGAAACAGTCTACACACAAGTGAACTGCCTTAATCACATGATTGAAACATCCAGTAGAGAAAAAAACCGTGTCCTAGATTCACACTATATATCACCAAGAAAAAAATGGGCATATCTACAGAAAAACAGCAATCTTGGATGTACCAACAAAAGAGCAACATGAAGATTCTGTGTAACATTGACACCAAACATCAACAGCAGTACATTCAATTTAAAGTGTTCATCTAAATCATTATCAATGATATGAAAAACAAAAGCACAGTCTACATAAATGACTTCTAATTCAGTAACAGTATTTGCTAATGCTTTAATTAACACCCCATCTTCTTTTACAAACAGATTTGAAGGCCCTGAGCTTATGTCAAAACCCATCACCTTTGATCTTGCTACAGTTTCAGCTCATGACCTAGATAGTTTCTCAGTTTTGGCTTTGACAAAAGTTAGCAATGTAACACAACACATCATACACATACATACATGCATACAAATTATAATTACTTTCGGTTCCTCTTTAAGTCGAACCATATCATCTGTCACCACAAAAGAAGGCGTGGGCACATAGTTAACAATAAATATTAACGATATAGCTCTAGCTAAAACTGGAAGAGGTATGAAATAGTCGAAATATGACAGGACAAAACATGCTAAATAACTGGTATATCCAGTAACTAACAAGCAGTCCGATACAGCTCTAGCTGAAACTGGGAAAGATGAGAATAGTTGGAATATTGCAGGACACAACATTAAATAACTGGTAAATCCAGTAACTAACAAAGCAGTCCGCCACAGTACGGTTTATTCATTACCAGCGCCTGGAACATTCTAACTTGGTTTCAGGAGAAAACAAACTTACAGTGCAAAAGAGAGCAAGAGTTTCCTTCCATGATTTTAGAGGTCTGGTATTAGCTATGCTCATTAGGTCATTGTTCACCATGGCAGAAACAACCTGAAACATTTAAAAACATATATATCTAAGAAAGAAAGGACACACACACATGCAAAATCACACAAGTGTTATCAATCTTCACTACGAAATCAACTAAATATCACAAACAGAACAGAAAATGGTTTAACAAAGTTAGCCATCTAAAAAGTGATTTTGTCACCTTTAGGTAGGGAGAACTACAAGTCTTGAGGTACTGGTCACGTGTGTTATCCCATAAGGTACCACCACCTACATGGGCAATAACCAAAGCATCCGCTAATCTATTTGCAGAAATGCATTGCGCCACTGCCCCCTTGTAATCTCCAACAACCAAAGCACGTTGAACAGCATCATCAAATGAAGAATCATGAATCTCCTCTTGTCCGTCAGTTTCTGGATGGGTTTCCTTTAAAGTCTCTTCATTGACAAATTCATCCTTGGTTTTGGACAGTGGCGTCTCTGCCTTTGGACTAGAAAGATTGTCAAAGAAATCCTCTCCGTTATCATTTCCAAACGGGGCAGATTCTTGATAGCCGGAAGCTCCTTCTCTAATAGCTGTACTCTCATCAAGACCAAGAGTATTTACATGCTCAGAGGCATCATTGTTTAAAGTATCGCTTTCCTCAACAGGTGCGCTGAAACCAAGATGAGAAAGCAGCTTTGTCCTTGCAGTCCCATCCTCGTTAAACATAACTTTCATGAAGCCCCATGTTTCCCTCTCTTCATCAGATCTGAGGAAGAAAAAA